CTTCAGTTACAGGAATAGATTTCAGAATTGCAAAGTATATGATAGACTTGCCTGTCCTTTGCTTGTTGTGATGGTCATTAACCAACATTTGAGAACATTCAGTGTACTAGGAATGTGCTAGGTGTCCCTTCACTCTGTTAGTTACCCTTGATGCAGCTGTTTATCTATGGAGGCTAACAATCAAAATTTTATTCCCTAAATGTTCTGTGAGGGCAGGGCCTATTGTATGCTGATGCTGTGATTCAGCTGGATATACAAAACTGAGGACAAGCAGCCTCATCTATTTGTTCATAGACTAGAAGTATCAGTTTCTTTATAAATATAACCTTTAAAATTGCTTTAGAGCATGAAATCTTAAGGCTTTTGGCCTTTATATGACTCTTGTCAGGCAGAGCTTAATTCCATCTTTCAGATTTAAGTGTTCAGATGCCAATTTTATTAAGTATGTCAAGCAACTCTTGACAGCCAAACTGCCAGAGTTAGAAGAAGAATATATTTTAAAGTGGGTTTTAGGCCACTTCTCCAGCCCAAGCTGACCCTTGCAGGAGTTTTCCTGAGTATGTGCCTTAATGGCGCCCTTAATTATCATACTTGAGAGCCTCAGAGTAAGTCTATAAGCTTTCCGGTTACATTAATCTCCTCCCTGCTTCCATAGGGCAACATATGTATGTAACACATCACTGCTGTTAGTCGTGGTTGTGTGAAGAGATTCCTTTACTCTCTGTGCCCTATAAAAGGTCACTTCATGGAAGTAAAACTTTGGAAGTTCATCATATTTGTGATTTCCCTCACTCGAGTGGTCTATGTTTGTTTTGTCTTGTTTGTATTCCTGTTTAAGTCTTAATGAAGTGACAACAAAGATGGTGGCTCTGTGCCTGCAGTGGGCAGGAAGCTGGCTGGCAGAATGTGCCCTTTGGACATTTAAATGAATATATATTTACTTGTTTTGTATGTGAACAGCAAATATTTTTGCCTTGATCATTTGTGAAATATAAGATGTACATGGGAAGCCACAGGAAGGAAGCAAAATAAATGTAGGGGGAGAGGATTGTAATCATTGAGATGAAACAAGATGTATGGTTTGCGGAATATAGAATTGATGTTCTTATCTGTAAACCTTCACCAAATTCACAATAAAAAGTTAGAAAAACAAAACAAAAAAGACCTAATGAAGAGTCTCTCTAATATTTATAAATGTGAAGATGGGGTCACTTTCCCCCTACAGTGTCTACAAGTGAACATCTCAGAATGGTAACAGCAGCAAACTACAAGCTGCAACATTGTATGTGGTACAGATTGCTAATGGAAAGATGTACCATCAAAAGCAAAGTCAAAAGTTGGAGATTGTCTGTCCTAGTCAGTCATTCATTATAAAATAAAACTTAACTTCCTACTGTGTGCTAATGGGGTTTGGGGAATTCAGGGAAGCTTACAGCAAGTAAACTGAAATCTTAGAGAGACTTAGCCAGTAAAGAGACACTGCAGGAGGCTAAAACGTCCCAAAGAAACAGAGAGAAGGCCAGTGTGGTAAGAAGTCAGACTGTACAAGATGAGATTAGAGAATGAGGCAGGATCAGGCTCTTCAAGGCCTTATAGACTATGTTGAGAAATTACATTTTCATCCTAAGACAGAGAGGATTCCTGGTGTGGCACTGTATGACTGTGAACTTCAAACCGACCAGCTGCTGCTCAGAAACCCTATGCAGGGTTGTTATGAGTTGGAACCAACTGGATGGCACTTAACAACAAGAACAGAGAGAAGAAGCTATTAAAATGTTTTAACCAAAAGTTGTCTTTTTACAGTTTGTGATCCAGAACTTAGTTAGAGACAGGTTATCTCTTACTTGGATTTGTTGATTTCTACATAGAAAATGACACTGTTGGAGAAGCACTGGACTTCGAACTTCAAGGTTAGCTGTTCGAGCCTTGTTGTTGTTAGGTGCCACCAAGTTGGTACCAACCCATAGCGGCCTAATGCACAGCAGAACGAAACACTGCCTGATCCTGGGCCAACCTCACTATTGTTGCCATGCTTGAGCTCATCGATGCTGCCACTTGGCCAGTCCATCTCGTTGGGGGTCTTCCTCTTTTTCTCTGACCCTCCACCTTATCAAACATGATATTCTTCTCCTGTGACTGGTCCCTCCTGACAATATGTCCAAAGTATGAGAGGCAAAGTTTGACCATCTACTAGCCACTTAAAGAAATGTGAGGCTTTTTGTTCCTGCAAAGATTTAAAACCTTAGAAGCCCTATATAGGTGTTGCTAAGAGTCCAAAGCAATTAGATGGCACTTAACAAGAATAACACACACATACAAGCCTACATATCTACCTGTGTAATCACACAAACTTTTTGAGTGTTATTACTGTTATTACAAGAATTTGAATTCGTAATAAGTTTCTAGAAGATACTGATGCAGTTGGTCCTGTCTGTGGATTAGATTTGGGTTTAACAGAATTAATGCTCCTCTATGGTTTTTTTCCTATGTGTCATCAACAAAGGATCATTTGTATTCTTATAATAACTAAGAAATATCATTTATTATTCATATTTAATAGCTAACAAATACTTTGCTTTTTGAAAGTTGTATTTCAGGAATACATTTTCAGGCTATCAGTTTTACTCATCTACATATATATGATACCTGACTGAAACAGTGTGGTAATAAACAGTATTGGGAAGATAAAGCCCAGAAACCAGCATACATAAAACCAGAAAGAAATGATAATTTATAAAAAGTTAATCTTGCCACCATGATATGCTGTTGATATTCTAAACTTTAGAATTGTGGGATTTGGGATGCGTAAACTCTTTTTACTATTTTAGTGATAATGAATCTGTATATTATTGAATCCAGTTTTTCTTTTTGTTTTCCTAGATCTAATTACTTGTTTGGACACTGCATCCAACTTTTTGGAACCTGAGTTCAGGTATGACTATATTTGTGGCTTTTTCTTCTCCTTCTTCTTCTTCAGTGTAACTGTACTATAGAATTGTGTTACCCAAAAAGATGATCTAAGTCGTAACCCACAGTACCTGTGCACATGACTTAATTTAGAAATAAGAGTCTTTGCAGATGTAGCTAAGTTAAGAATCTCGAGAAGAGCTCATCCTGGGTTTACAGTGACCCTAATCCAATGACTGATATCTTCCTTGACTGATGATACCTTCGTAAGAGAAAGGAGAGGGAGCCAATGGGGAGACGTAGGGGAAAGGGCTATGTGAAGTTGCATACAAAGGTTAGTTATCTGGCAACAGTCAAGGAATGCCAGGAGCCACTGGCACTGAAAGAGGCAAGGGAGGATTCTTCTCTAGAGCCTTCAGAGGCTCTGCCACACCTGGATTTCAAACTTTGGGCTTTGAGAACTGTGAGAAAATAAATTTCTCTTGTTTTACACCACCAGGTTTATTATAGCAGCCCTACAAAACTAATGTACTCCTCATCTACTACTTCTTCATTCTGTGCATACTTAAGATTATTGTCTATTGTGTAGCATATCATCATTGTTCCAAAAATAAGGGTCGTTATAAGTCGGAACCGACTCCACAGCACATAACCAACACCAACAACAACCATTTAATCACCGTGTTTAACATTTGCTTTAATTGTAGTATTTGGGTCTTTTCCACATACTCTTTTAATGTTTTTTAAAAGTAAAACTAGTTTCTCTTCAGATTTAAAACTAATATTAATGTAGGAAACCTATTTATTTATTTTCAGAACAAGGGAAGTGGGACTAGTTTAGGCTATTGTAGACATTGTTTTAGGCATTGTTCCTTCCTAATTAGCATATATACCACCATTTTGCTTCTTAAGGTCCTTGTCTCTTGTTTAGACTAGGATTCACTTCTATTTGAGTCTCCATCCCTAACCTTTGCTGGCTTTATTCTAAACTTCACATTGGTCTCAAGTTATTTTTTTAAATATTCAAGTGGGCTTCAAAATGTTCATGGAAAAAATACATTATCCTCATATATCTGATTTTTCCTTGCTTATTATAGCAAAAAGAAGTCTAAATACTTTGGCCTGGTCTTCAGGATCCTTCAGGATCCAGTCTCATCCCTTGATGTTTTCCCTAATGTACTCCATGTTGAAGTAACTTTGGATTATTTCCACTGCTCTGAGCTTCAGAACTTTGTCTAGCATCTCCATATTTCTCTCCTCTTAGCAAAATTATTCTCATCTTTCATGACTCTTCCCTTCTTCCTCCCATTCCTCAAAGGGCATCCTCTTCAGACAGGTGCTTGGTGGAAGGAGTCACATTCAGCAGAAGTAACCCTTTCAGTGGTTCACAGCAAAGAACTCTGCAAGGAGAAGGAGCCATTCCACTACTCACTGTGTCCTCCCTCTCCGGATTTCCACTGTCTCTCGCTGGACCACTCTACTATCTGAGTAACACTGTCTTAGACTCCACTGGTGATTCCTTGTGCTCTCTTCTTTGCCTGGGAGGCAGATTTAATAAAATAATCTTTTTTAAAAATATAAATCAAATTTATGTGGGTAAACTGTCAAAATCCTTTAGTGGCTTTCTAATTTACTTAGGAGTCCTGCTGTGGTGCTATAGGATAAGCACTAGACCACAAGGTTGGCGGTTCAAACCCACCAGCTTCTCAGAAACCATATATACATGGTCACTATGAGCTGGAACCGACTCAGTGGCACTTAACAACATTTTACTTAGAAATAGAATTCACACTCCTTGCTATAGTCTACACGGCCTCTACATGATCTAGCCCTTGCCTACCTCTCCAGCGTCTTCTCAAATTAACCTTATTCTTTGGTCACTGCATTCTGCCTGCACTGGTTATCATCAGTTCCAGACTCATGGGCATTCATTTCCTTCTGATGGGTGGTGTTTCCCTCAGCTTGCTCTGGTGATGTCTGTTAGTGCTCCTCTTAGACATCCATTCATGATTGATAGAACAGTGCAGAGCCATGCATAGGAGTACAAACTAGAACTCATATGCCAGCTGTGTGAGGTGGGCACAGTATTTAGCTTCTCTGTTCATCTATTTCCTCATTTGTAAAGTGAGGTAAAAATAGTATGCACCACATAGAGTTCATGCAAGTATTTCCTAAACCTCTTAGAATATTACCGACTGCCTGTTAAGTTTATTGAATGTTTGTATTTCTTTTATTCAGTTAGATTCCTAACAATTATATCATAAGAATACCAGTTCTTCATGATAGTATCTAAACCTGTAACTCAGTATCTGAGTTGTTGTTCTTGTTAAGTGCCATCAAGTTATCCACCTCATAGTGACCCTGTGTATGGTTTCCAAGGCTTTAAATCTCATGAGCAGAAATCCTCATCTTTTGAATGCAGAGCGGCTGGTGAACTTAAACCATGAATATTATGGTTTGAAGTCCAGTGCTTATCATGTGGTGACACCATATTAGTATCATATTGATGTCTTCCTCTACCACTGGGATGTAAGCGCTCTGAGGACAAGGTCAATATTTGGTTAACCTGCCACAGCACTTAAAAACAACATATATACATTCAAATACATGTGTTAATCGCATGGATTAGTGGGTAGATGGGTGAATGACTAAATGAATGAGTGCCAACCTTTTATTTATTTTTTTATGCAACTTAAATTTGATTAATTAATACTGAAGAAGTATGGTAAAAGAATACAGCCGTGGCTCACACCCTTTCTAATTTAATACCATTCAATGTCCTCGTGTTCTGTTTGTGGTTAGTTACCATTTAGTCTATTACTAATTACGGAATCCCCGTGCGATCATGTTGTTGTGGTTGGTAGGTGCTGTTGAGTCTGTAATGACTCATAGGACCCTATATGCCCTGTCCTGTGCCAACTTCACAATCATTGCTGTGTGTGAACTGCTCCCACTGTGCCAATCCATCTCGTTGGTGACTGCATTCCAGTCACCAGTAACGATCAATATATCTTGACTGCATGTTTGACTGAAGAATTTCAGACTTAGGAAATTTGTGGAATTCTTCAATTTCATCATCACTGGCTTTAGTGGTTGTGTAAATTTGAATAATTGTATTAACTGGTCTGTAGGTGTATGAATATTATCCTATCATAGGCAGCATTGTACTTCAGGACAGATCTTGAAGTGTTCTTTTTGATGTTGAATGTGATGCCATTTCTCTTCAATTTGTCATTCCTGGCATACTATACCATTCGGTTGTCAGTTTCATAATGACCAATATTAGTCCATTTTAGCTCACTAGTGCTTAGAATATCGATGTTTACATGTTCCACTTAATTTTTGATAACTTCCCATTTTCCTAGATTCATATTTCAATACAGTCCATGTTCTGATTATTAATGGATACTTACAGTTGTTTCTCCTCATTTTGAGTTGTACCCCATCAGCACAGGATGGTCCAGGACACTTTTCTCTGTCCAAGTCATCATAGTCAGCTCTACTTGTGGAGGCAGCTCTGCCCCAGTTGTCTTTTGGATGCTTCCCAACCTGAGGGTCTCATCTTCCGGCACTGTGTCTGACAGTATTCAAGTGCACTTCATCATGTTTCAATATCTAATATTTTGGTATCCAACAATGTCCCACTGCTATTCATAAGGTTTTCAGTGACTAAGTATTAAGAAGTAGTCCGTTTCTGCTTTTTCCTAGTGTAGTTTAGTCTGGAAACTCAGCAGAAACCTGTTCACCCTGGGTGACCATGCTGGTTTTGAAAATAATTGGTGGCATAGCTTACAGAATCACAGCAACACACAAGGCACTACAGTATGGCAAACTAACAGATGAATATAGCTGTTAAATGTCATGGACTATATCTTAAAATAGAAATATGCCCACCTTCCATTATATAGCTGTAAAAAAGATGATGGCTATAGGTCTGAAAGAACTTTTTAGAAGTGGTTGTTCTCAGGGTGATAAGATTATAGGAGATGTGTACTTCTTCGTATGTCCTACATGTATCTGAATTTTTACAAATTAAGCCAATAAGAACAATAGAAGATTACTTTTCTAATGAAGGTAAGCAGGAAGCACTAAATAAAATGTTCTAAATTTAACCTTAGACCTTTTTAGTAAAAGTCATGACATAAGTTGTGTAACCCATAAAGTCCACTGCCACTGTGTCACTTCCGTGTCATACTGACCCTACAGGACAGTAGAACTGCTTCATAGGATTTCCAAGGTTGTAAATTTTTACAAAAGCAGACTGCCTCATCTTTCTTCCATGGAGCCAGCTGGTGGATTTGAACCATGATGTTTTCAGTTACCAGCCCAATACTTAATCCATTGCACCACCAAAGCGCCTTATGAGTTGTATGAAACCCAAATTCACTGCTAAGGCATCAGTTCCAACTCATAGCAAACCAATAAAGATTTACAGCCTCGAAGGACTTGAGAGAAGTTCTCATTTCTCCTTAGGCCTTCCGAGGGTATAAATCTTTATTGATGCAAACAGGCCTCATCTTTCTCCTGCTGAGCAGCTAGTGAGTTTTAACTGCTGACCTTGTAGTTAGCAGTGCAGCACTTAATCTATTGTGCCACCAGGCTTCCCATGAGTTGTATAGGTGGTTATATTGCAATAAAGAAAATTCAAGACTCACCGGTCCATAAATGTTGTTTGCATTGAGCTGAAAAATGGGTGTGCCATGTGTTTTGGTCTTTTTCCCCAGAAAGTACATTGTTATGTACACTTTGGCTTGTTTTCTTCTTTCAGTAAATACTGCCCAGCTGGTTGTCTGCTTCCTTTTGCTGAGATATCTGGAACAGTTCCTCATGGTTATAGAGATGTAAGTTGGATATACACTAAAGTTGTGATAGAACTATATAACTTTTTTTTTTAATTCTAGAATAGGTTTTATGTCTGTCTTCATTGTAATTTTCCAGGATTTTTTTGTTATTTTAGTAATATATATATTGTTGTTGTTGTTGTTAAGTGCCATCGAGTCGGGTCCGACCCATAGCGACCCTGTACAGGGTTTCCGAGGGTGTAAATCTTTACGGGAGTAGAAAGCCTCATCTTTCTCCCGCGGAGCGGCTATTTTTTTTTTTTTTTTTTCCTTTTGTTAAAGCATTAATAATCTGTCCCATGTGTAGTGAGAAAACTGCAAGATTCACTGATTTCTTGAGGAAGTATAAGTATCTTGTTTAATGAATTACCAAAAGAAAATAACAAACTAATCATTTCTCTTTCCTTCCTTCAAGTCGTCGCCATTGTGCATGGCTGGTGTGCATGCAGGTGTGGTGTCAAACATTTTGGGTGGCCAAATCAGTGTTGTAATTAGTAAAGGTATCCCGTACTATGAAAGTTCCCTGGCTAACAACGTCACATCTGTGGTGTAAGTATGCATGCTGGGTAAGAGTGGGCTAGAGACTGGCTAGACCTTAGCAATGTTCCTGTTCTGGGTGTTTGTAAAATAACATTAATACATACTAAACTTTCACATTTGTGTGGGCTCAATGCCTTGAATACATTCCAGAGTTAGTTTTCTGAGAGCAGGCAATATGGTACAACTTTAGCATGTGCTACTTCAAAGAAGCAGCCATTTGGGCCGATTCTTTTCTTGACTTTCCTAAGTGTTTAAATGGCCTGGGGTAGGAACTAGAAGTTTGTAGCCAAATCCTTCAACTTTAGAGATCAGAAGGCGTACTCTGTCCCTATACTACAACCCACATTTTCCAGACGCACTGAGGATATTGAAAAAGTTTTGAATGTAAATTAAATTTTCACGTAAATCAGAAGTAGCATTGTTAACGAATCCCACTCTCATCCCATGAGAATATTTTAACACTGTATTTTCATATCATCTGCTGTGTTGTACATGGAAAGCAGAAGAAATGATAGATCCCCAAACATTAAGTAAAAAGATAACTTAGGTGTGTTCAGTCATGCAGACAATATTAAGCCTGATTGAAAGCAGGACAGTAGAAAGTAGAAGTCAGCACACTTTCTCTGTCAAAGCCCTGACAATAAGTATTTAAGACTGGGTCCGAACAAAATGAACCAATGCCCCCTCCCCACCCCCAGCACTTTACTCAGCTGGGTTCAGTAATTCACTGCAGTGACCACACAGAACTCAGACACTGTAATCATAGTTAGGGGGTTTATTAGGGAAGTAAACTGGTTAAAATCAGAGAACACTCAGGGCACAGTGTTTCCAGTCAGGATAGCCTCTCCTCAACTGTGCCCACATGCAGGCCTCTCTCTGCAGTTTTACAAAGTTCTTTTAAGGCTGCTAATAAATGCCCGCCAGACACACCATTCTACCATAAATCTCAGCCTAAAAGCACACTTCTCGAGCTTTGTAGGTCAGCAAACCTAGCTCCTCCAATTAAGTACCTAGAGACACCCTACTCTGCAAGCAAAGCTTTTACTCAAGTCCATCAGCTGTACTTGCTCCATGTGCTAGGAAGCCCCTGCTCTGTTTCATGCTCTGGCTCTTGCTCTGCAGCTGCTACTCCTCCAGTACCATAGCTTTCTATATCTCAGTCAAGGAGTTGCAGTGTGCCGGTATCCTGGGCCCAAGGATGCACTCCACTCCTGGCTCTGCTTTGATGGTAGTGAGATCTTCTGACAATGACTCATTTTAAACCCACTTGAGAGGTCCACGATTTTACAATCACAGTTGAATCATATCTCCCTACCAGTGTCTTCTGTCACCTTTTCTGACCCATCTGAGCAATCAAGGCAAAAACATTGTTTGGTGATCATGGGTAGAAGAGTCATATATATATATAAAGTAATTCACTGGGCTGCAGTGGGCCACATGTTCTTCTATTACTTAGGTTGCTTTGTTTTTTTTTACAACCCTTTATGTTTGTGGAAAAAAAAAAACCCCACATTTTTTACCCCCTGGCCATATAAAACAGGCCATGCGTGGGCTAATGTTTACCTACCCTTAATGTAGAGTTTCTGCCTTTCCTTCTTTTGGTTTCTTACAGAAGATTTTATGCAGAGCCTTTCATTGTTTTTTCTTGTTCTACTTTTAGAAAAAAAAAAAATAGTGGAATTCTTTCTTATTTGAAAAATAATAAAAAAGGCATTGGATCATCTTGTGTTTTGGTGTTGGGTGTTGTGCTGGAAGACAAAAGAATATACTAGCAATTGTATCGCACCCAGTTCCTGCAGCTTCTTTTCACTCTCCCCAGTTCACACTCTGCACCACTACTTTGAAATGTATTGTGGCATTCTAATACTGAGTCATAGTCTCAGATTGTCTATTTCATTTCAAAAACTCAGTCTCTAGATATAGCCAGCTTTTCGTCTGTTTACTCCAGGAAACTGGAGCCTTATGCTCTGAGAATTATACCTTTTAGTGAAACTTTGACCAAAAGCAGTTGCTGCAGAGTTAGTTTATGTCGTGAAAAAGAAATGTTTATGTTAAAGATGCCATGGGCACGTACGAGCTAAGTCATGTGTGAAGCTAGCTACTAGATACTTGCAGAGAAGGTTGTTTGTTTATGCTGTTTTCAGAAGTTGGTCTGCTTAGAAAGGAGTGCTTTGGCAGGGGTGGGAGATGCAGATTTATTTCAGGTGTCTATTTTTCAGTCATGATATATTCTTAGTTTTTTAAATAGTAAAATATAAGCAGAAGTCTCACCAAGATAAATATGGGAACATCATGTGTTATGTGAAGGTCACCAAAGAATCTTCTCTTTCTTTCAGGGGTCACTTATCTACAAGTCTTTTTACATTTAAGACAAGTGGTAAGCCTTTCATAGACTTTTTAATATATAATTTGTATACTGGCTATTATTACTTGAACACTGACTGTATGCCTGGCACTATGCCAATTGGTTTGTGTGTGTGTGTGTGTGTTTTCTCAAATAGTCATCAGAATAGCACTAGTAAGTAAGAGAAGTACCTAATAATGTAATGAATAGAATAAATTGAAGGATTTTATAGTAATAGGCAACAATTGTGAGGTTGGCCCAGGACTGGGCTGTGTTTCATTCTGTTGTGCATAGGATCGCTATGAGTTGGTATTGACTCAATGGCACCTGACAACAACAATAACAACAGTAGTGATAGGGAAAAGCTCATCATGTAAGCAAGGTAGAAAGCTACTTAGCAATTTGCCAAAGTCATTATATTCATTCAGCTGAAAATATTTAGTGTCTTTTATTTGCCAGGCACTGTACTGGTGCTAGAGTTCCAGTAGTGAACAAAACAGACACAGCCCTGCCATCTTGGAAATTAGTGAGAGATCAACAAGAAACAAATAAGAAAATAACTGTGTGCAGTATGCTGTTTACAATATAATACAGGGTGTAGAAAAATAACTACAGGGAATGTAAGGTGGACCAGTTTGAAATTTTGAAGTAGTCAAGGAAAGCCTCATAGGAAATATGACAGTAGAACCAAAAGTTTGAGGTAAGGAAGTAAGACAAGTCATCTACTTACATGGAAAAGGTGTTCCAGGGAGAAGAGAGTGTATTTCCACTCGACTAATGATCATTGTCTATGAAAGATATGTTTGTAGGTTTCCTAACAAGAAATGAAAATGGTCATTTGTCTGTGAAATCCTTGCCTAGCTTTGAGACTTCTCTGTTATAACGTATATATGTGTGTTCATTAAAAGTGCAATAGAAAGTTTGCAGCGAGGAGGTTCATAATGATTTTTAATTTCTGCCTGGGAACCAGAATACATTCTTCTTTATTTCAGGTTGCTACGGAACTCTAGGAATGGAATCTGGTGTGATTGCCGATGCTCAGATAACTGCATCATCTGTACTGGAGTGGACTGACCACACAGGACAGGAGAACAGTTGGAAACCTGAAAAGGCCAGGCTGAAAAAGCCTGGACCCCCTTGGGCTGCTTTGGCCACTGATGAATACCAGTGGTTACAAGTAGATCTGAATAAGGAAAAGAAGATAACAGGTTAAGAGACAGTTACATTCTAGGACAACTTGTGTGGAAACCTATGATCTCTAAGATTTTCATAAAAAATCACTGATTTTACTTGGAAGCCTTGTTACCACTACGATTTTCATAGAAAATCACTGAAAATTTAATTGGATGGTTTTAGGTTTTCTTCACTGCTAATATATAAAACCACCTAATATCACTAGGGAGCTCTGGTAGCGTAGTGGTTATGAGTTGGGCTGCTAATCTCATGGCCAGCAATTTGAAGCTTCTAGCAGTTACACAGGAAGAAGATGATGCTTTCTGCTCCCATAAAGATTTATAGCCTTGGAAACCCTATACAGGGTCGCTGTGAGTTGGAACCAACTCCACGGCACATAACTACCACCACCACCACCACCAGTATTACTAGGGAGCCGTGATGTGGCGCTATTTGATAAAGCACTGGACTTCAAGGTCAGTTTGAACCACAAGTTCAGTGGTTCAAACTCGCCAGTCACTCCTTGGAAACCTTGTACAGGATCGCAGTGAGTTGGAACTAAGTTGATGTCACTTAACAAAATAGTATTACTAGAGATGGTTTTATATAACACTACAAAGGAGAGGAGACAGCATTTCATTCTTAATAACTTAATTTTATACTAATAAGATTCTTTTAAGGCAGTGTTCAGTAAATTGATATTGAGACATCTGAAATAAGCATCTTTTGCGGTTCAGGCTCACCAGCTGCTCCTCGGAAACCCTATACAGGGTTGCTATGGGTCCGAATCAACTTGACGGCTCTTAACAACATTAGTCATTAAGAGAAATTTATGTTCAAGAAGTTTATTTTAATTACTGTGTTGTTGTTAAGTGCTATCGAGTCGATTCCAACTCAGCGCTGCTGTATAGGGTTTCCGAGGAGCAACTGGTGAACTTGAACCACTGACCTTGCAGTTCAAACAGCTTTGCAGTCTGGCACGTTAACCCACAGCTCCACACCAGGAATCGTTAAGTACTACGTTGTTGTTGTTAAGTGCCGTCGAGTCGATTCTGACCCATAGTGACCCTCTATAGGGTTTCTAAGGAGCAGCTGGTGAGCTTGAACCACCGACCTTGCAGTTCAAACAACTTTACATTACAGTCTCATGCATTTTCCCACAGCGCCACAGCAGGACTCCTTAAGTACTTTAACTAGTATTCAGCATGTGCTTAATATAAACTAATTAATTTTGGGGAATTTAACAAATTATTTTGTTAAAAAGATTTACGTTGCTTTTGTATTTAAATAATATCAATGATCACCTTTAGTTTACTCGTTCCGAGGAAGTCATTCTTACTCAGTAGTTGAAATATATTTCACAATTATAAAATGCAAGCTGCCGAAAGTGATATATAGCCTTTTCCTTATATGACCCCATAGTTCTTCCTATCTCTGCAAGGGAGCAAGGCCGTGCACTTACACATGGATATGTGTAAGAAATAGACATTTTTGAACAGTGCATCTCAGGAACATATGCTTTGATACTGACCACACGTTGAAGGTCAGCCTCTGTGCACTAATGAAAGTAATTCTTCTTCCCCAGGCATTGTAACTACTGGCTCCACCATGGTGGAGCATAATTACTATGTGTCAGCCTATAGAATTTTGTACAGTGATGATGGACAGAAATGGACTGTGTATAGAGAACCTGGTGTGGAACAAGATAAGGTACAGTGATTACTAAGATGTTTTACAAAACATTTAGAAAATATAAAAGTTAAAACTCATTTTGTCTCCACTTTGCCCTCTTCTGGTTGTTTCAGGTAGTGTTATTTAGAGGACTTAACTATTGAGTTTTAAAATGCTTGGTGTTATCAGGCCCCTTTTGGGGACCTTAAGGGTATTTTCCTGATTTTTACTACTATGTTTTTAACTGGGTTGTTTAGACACTCTATCAAGTAAGTCTGAAAAATGGAACTTGTAATTTTTTTGTTTTTATAAAGCATTTCTTATCCCATGGAATGATGATCTAATTTGTTCCCAGTTTTCTACTCCATAGGCAACAGGGGGAAAAGCAAGCATAACTAAAAGGTAAAATACAGTAAGCGATAGGATTGTTACAGAATTGGGGGGTCATTTCAAGATTCTCTCACCAACAGCCATCTTACTTTTCCTACCATATCTTCTGTGCTCATTATGAAATTGCTTTCCTTAGTAAAAAATGATGGAGATGCTAGAATGAGCCAGAGCAGAGAATAAAGGGTACAGAGGGTTAGTGGAGGTGGATCTCATTCCCATCTTTATCACTTTCACCGAATCCTTGCCCCTGTTCTACCACAAAGGATCTTATAACTGGGAGTCCCTGTCACCAAATTAAATGCTTTACATCTAGGACTTAAATTATGGATATGTTTTTCAAGGAAACATTCCTATGAATTTTGCTTTGATAATAAACTCTATTTACTTTTCTATTATGTATCATTTGCTAGTATATCTTCAGTTACCCGTTATTTCATCTCTCTGTTCAGAAATTTCCAGGTTATGGTGGTGATGATGTCTGTGGAGTTAGTTCTGACTCATAGCGATCCAATGTAGGGTCTCCAAAGTTGTCAATGTTTACAGAAGCAGTCTTATCTTTCTCCCTGCGAGTCACTGGTAGATTTGAACTTCTGACCTTGCAGTTAGCAGTTCATCTGGTAACACACTGTGCTACCAGAGTTCCTTTATTATCTTCTTTGGGGATCTAAACTCATCTGCTATTATTCAAGACCTTCTTTCCTCACTTCTACTTGATTTCACATGAACTTTACCTGTGTGGTAAGCCTCTACCCAATCAAGCAAAGAGCAATACTGTCTCCATACATGTCCTACTTCTGCCTAATCGACTCTTCCCAAGTAGACTGCTTTCTATTCCTAGCATATCCATATTTATTTGTATAGTATTTACTGTCGTTGTTGTTAGGTGCCATTGAGTTGGTTCTGACTCCTAGCAACCCTGTATAGGGTTTCTGAGACTATACAATTTTGTGGGAGCAGAAAGCCTCATATTTCTTCTGCAGAGTGGTTGGTGGGCTCAAATCGCCAACCTTGAGGTTTATAGTCCAGTCCTTAACCTACAGAGCCACCACATTTCTGATATTTACTGTTGATGTTAAGTGCTGTGGAGTCGATTCCGACTCATAGTGACTCTGCGCAGGGTTTCGTAGGCTGTAAATCTTTATGGGAACAGAAAGCCTCATCTTTCTCCTGCAGAACAGCTGGTAGTTTCAAACTGCCGACCTTGAGGTTAGCGGCCCAATTCGTAACCAGTGGACTATAATTAGTTTTTTGAAATAACAAAGAATTATCCATGCTTATATTGTAAAAATGTGTAACAACATTGAGTTTTATTTCTGAATAAAAACTTTTCCTGCTTCATTTTGAAAGATAATTTCAGTGCATACAAGACTTCCAATTTTTTTTTCCCTTTCAATACTTTAAATATGTTGGTGCGTCCTTTTCTGACTTATTGATTTCAACAAGAATTCTGCTAATCATTCTTTTATATTTTGTATGTAATGTTTCTATTTTATTTGGCTGCTTTTAAAGTTTTCTTTTATTGTTACATTCAGTTGGTGTAGCACTGCAGGATAATGTGCTGGACTGCAAGGGTTTGAACTGCCGACCTTGAGGTTCAAACCAGCATCTCCTTGGAAACCCTAAAAGGGTGCTATGCATCAGAACTGACTCAACAGTGGTTAACAACAACAACATGAGAGATTTGGTTATGATGTGTCTTTGTATAATTTTCTTCATGTTTCTTTTACTTGGAGTTATTTGAACTTCTTAGATCTTTGGGTTATCATTACCATTAAATTTGGGGGACTTACAAACATTGAATATCTATCAAATAATACCTCTCACCCACTCTAATTACACAGATAGTATGACCCTTGAAAACCCCTCAAAGTTCACTGATGCTGGTTTTTTGTTGTTTTTTTTTTGTATTTTCCTCTTTCTATTTTATTTTAGAAAATTTGCATTGCTTTGTCTTCAAGCTCAGTAATGTATTCTTCAGTGTCTATCTAGTCTTCTGTTAGTCCCATCTAGTCCCTGGATGGTACAAATGGCTTGTACTGGACTACTAACCTAAAAGTTGGTAGTTCAAACTCACATTCAGTGGCACCACAGAAGAAAGGCCTAGAAATCTTCCATAAAAATTAACAGCTAAAACTCTATGAAGCACTTCTACTTTGTAAGGCATGGGGTCACCATGAATTGAAATTGATTCAATGACAACAGAGTTTGTGTGGGGGAGAAAGAGTATATTTTTATCTTAGATACATATTTTACTTCTGGTTTTTCAGTTTGAGGGGTGAGTTTTCTGTTTTTTTAATTTTTCCATATCGCTCTTTATACATGGTCAATCTTTTTATCTTGTCTTTTGGAAAATATTATAATAGCTTCAGTGTGCTAGTCTACAAATTGTAGCCTATATGATAAATCTGGGTATTTTTTGTTGATTGATAATTCTCATTATGGGTCATATTCTGCAAACCTGTTCAGTTTTGCCAGACACTGTTATCTGTACATTGTTTAGTTGGTTGTTTGTAGATTTTTTTTTTTTTTTTTTTTTTAATCTTGTTAAGAGTGCTTTTTAACTCCTGATGTGGCTCTGTAGGGTAAACACTGAACTGCTTACTTGAAGGTGGGCAGTTCAAACCCACCAAGTCGCTCCTCGGAAACCCTGTACAGGGACACTATGAATCAGAACTGGCATGAAGGCACTCAATAGCAACAACAGGCAAGAGCTGCTGAGCTCTTAATGTAGGACTGCTTTCCCTTCACTCCCGAGTCAGTATTCTGAGCTCTCAATCCCATATCCGTCCCATGTTTTATGAGGTTTCTCCATTCTGACTGTTGGGAATGTAAGTTGATCCCAGCCTTATGTGAGTTCTGAGAATTGTCCTTGTTAAGTGCTGTCAAATAATTTCAAACTCTGGTGACTCTGTGTGGGGTTTTCAAGGAGTGGATGATGGGCTTGGCTTGAACCGTCAATCTTGTCAGGAATCCTAGAATTGGAGAATTGTCGTACTTACTCCTATTCAGTGGTTCTTTCACACTAACCACAGGCATTGGTTAAATGCAGCCAACGATTTAAGTGGAAACCCCTACAGATCCATAGAAGTTTGGCTTCTTTGTCTTTTCTCTCCTATACTCTGCCCTGCAAATTCTCATTGGCTTGTATTGCTGATCTCCTTGACCTTAGAGGCCACCAGGCTGTTTGGAATCCCTCCACTTCCTTACACAGCCACTTGGAAACTATCTCCAGAGACAGAATTGGGTAAATAGATAGGTTTGCCACATTTGTTTTACTTCTCAGACATCATTGCCCTCTGCTGCCCATTATCAGCATCCGAAAACCATTGTTTTATATATTTGTCTCTTATTTGTCATGTGTTGGAGGACGGTAAGTCTAGCCCCTGTTACTCTGTCTTGGACAGAGCAGAAGCCCTCCCATTGAATTGAATGTGAAATCTGTTCCCTCACTGATACTTGCCCATCCACACTTTCATCTCTTCCCACATCCTCAAAAGTCATTGTTGCCAACACTTGTGTATTCATTTTCATGCCTTTCTAACGTGTGCATGCACACGCACGTGCACACACACACACACACACACACACAGTCAACTTTGGATTTGTTTCCTAAAAGTGGGTTAGATGGATGGACAGACAATTTGCTTTCATGTAATGTATTACTTTTTAACATGCTATTTTTTGCCCTAAGATACTTAGCCATTGTTCCTGCTCTACTAGTATAATAAAAATAGCAAATAAATTGCCTTCATTTAATTTTAGAATAGGATCTGTGGACTCCTGGTGTGGTGCTGTGGGTTAATGCACTGGACTGCAAAGTCAGTTTGAACCACATTGTCAGCAGTTTGGCAATTAACAACAACAGTCTATGGAAATAATTGTTGTATCTGAAAAGCAAGCATTTTAGGAAATGTAGAATATTAACATGCTTTTAGAAATTTAAAATACAATGCCATAGGAATCAGCCAAGAATATAAAGGTCATAATAATGTGAAATTACTTGATTGAAAAATAAAGCAAATACTTTAACTTTACCTGATAAAAAATAATTTTGCTTATACACTAAAGTCTACTTATTAATGGACTTTAGAAACTACCTACATGATTTAACCTGGACCCTAGCTATAAGTCAGAAGACCCATATTCATGTCCCTCCTCTGTTATTGACTAGTTGTGCAATCCACTTGCATTCCCAAGCCATGGTTTCCTGTAATCTGTTTCATGTGATTGTCAGGAAGAGCAAAATCTTAACATGAAAATGGTTTGTAAATAAGAACTGTTCATTATTTGTTTGAAATAGTTGAAGGAATGAGAGAGTTACTGAAAGTCGTATTTCTGTTTAAGGATTATTTATTTACATGATAACATTTTATTTAGTTTTAATCATTAACTTAGGTACAGAGCAGTGTTTCAAAGCTACATTCCTTGTTCAAGGGTTAAGAATGAATGAAAGCTAGATATACTATGTTGTTGTTAGTGCTGTCGAATCAGTTCCGACTCATAGCAACCTTGTATAGGGTATCTGAGGAGCAGCTGGGGAGCTTGAACTGTCAGCTTTGCGGTTCAAACCCACCTTGCATCTAGCTCACTAACTCGCAGCACTACACCAGGACTCCAGTTATGCTATGTTGTTGTTAGGTGCTGTCGAGTCAGTTCTGACCCATAGCAACCCAGCACAGGGTTTCCGAGGCTGTAAATGTTTACGGGAGCAGAAAACCTCATATTTCTCCCATGGAACTACTGGTAGTTTAGAACTCCTGACCTTGAGGTTAGCAGCCCGATTCGTTACCACTATGCTACCAGTTATACTATGTTGTTGTGAAGTGCTGTAGAGTCGGTTCCAACCCAGAGTGACCCTATATAGGGTTTCCGAGGAGCAGCTGGTGAGCTTGAACCACTGACCTTGCAATTTAAATGGCTTTGCCGTCTGGTGTGTTAACCCACAGTGCCACTAGTTATATAATAGTTGTTGTTAAGTGCCGTTGAGTCCATTTTGACCCATAACGACCCTGTATAGTGTTTCCAAGGAGCGGCTGGTAAGCTTGAACCGCCAACCTTGCAGTTCAAACTGACCTTGCTGTCCAGTGCATTAGCCCACAGTGCCACACCAGGACTCCGGTTTTACTATAGAAACTGTTTTTATGAAGTTTATCCAGTAGGTGGCGACATACATATATGTTAAGTGTTCATTAGTTTATGTTCACCTTCAGCTTATTTACTGAGAAAAATTATGAAATGTACACAAGCAAAGCAATTTCCTCTAAAGACCTCTTCTTTTCAATTATGCTATTCTTGGTAAATGAAATTAATACGTTTAAATAGTTAGTGATTCCATAAAACTAGCTACTAACTTGTTTGTACGGTAAACCTCACTGCAATTGAAACCTTCTTACCAGACTGCTTAGTACTCTTGTTAATTCTTAAATTACATTAAATCATTTTTATATTCAGTACTTTTCTTTTTTCAGTTTTAATGAAGAATATGCAGCTTCTTAGTAGCTTTTCCAAATCATGACTTAGTTTTTTGTTTAAAGATGTTTTCTTGCTTATTGTCAAATCCCACTTAAGGCCAAAAGCAAAAACAAAAAGTGTAAATGAGGGGACTTAATTCTAACCTTTGTTGATGTAAAGTACCAATTTTTTGTTTTTTAAAGATATTTCAAGGAAACAAAGATTATCACCAGGATGTGCGTAATAACTTTTTGCCACCAATTATTGCACGTTTTATTAGAGTGAACCCTACTCAATGGCAGCAGAAAATTGCTATGAAAATGGAACTGCTTGGATGTCAGTTTATTCCTAAAGGTAACTGTTACACAACCATGCCTTTTAAGACATGTTATTTTCACCTGATTATTAAAAATGGTTTTGTTCTCAGCGAACATTATATAGAATCATGTGAATGCTATTATTATGCTTAAGCTTTAGTTATAGTGTCTTCTTAAAGGAATTTTAAAAAATAGTTATTATCTTAAAAAGTCAGATATCAAGAGTGGGTTCCAAAATTGTAAGTGAACATTCATGAAAGAATGCAGTGAGATTTTATTCCAGGTCTAGTCTCAATCTTAGTGGTTTTTAATCCACTTTCACATAGTATAATACTTGTCTCACATAAGCACTCAAAGAGTGTAACAGTAACCTAAGTGCCTTGTATTTCAAATGTATTTAAAGGGGACTAACTTCCCTCAATATTTTATGATCATACATGCAGTATTAACATAAAAATTGGGATACCCCTGAAACCTATCACAATTCCTGATGTATAATGTATCGTCCATACATATTTATTAAATGGTTGAATAATATGGCAAATTGTGGTTAGGTTTACAGCTTAACAGTCCCAACACCATCCCACACTGCATTCTCCTTCCTACAAAGAACTTTTCAGGCAACTTAATGAGTTTAAAAGGAATTGATCCAGGTATATTTGTACATTTAGTGCAGAATATAATGTTTGTCCTCCTGATATACTTCTGTTTGAAATCAGTCTGCAGAATTAAATACCTTAGGAAATTTTGAACACTTACATTTTTGATTGTTTATATCAGCAAAATGTGTAACGTTTTCTAAACCATTGTTCAAGGTCGTCCTCCAAAACTTACTCAACCTCCACCGCCCCGGAACAGCAATGACCTCAAAAATACCACAACCCCTCCAGAAATAGCCAAAGGTGTGCCTACTTTAAATGTGAGAATTTGTTATTTCAAGTTTATATTAATCAACTTGGTGTGGAGAAAAGAATAAAGAGGGTTTTGTGTTTTGTTTTTCCCCCAAGGCCGTGCCCCCAAATTTACTCAACCACTACAACCTCGCAGTGGCAAAGGATTCCCTGCACAGATAGAACAAACAACTGCCACTCCTGATATCAAAAACACTACTGTCACTCCAAATGTAACCAAAGGTATGCAAACCCCAAGCTAGCACCTATTAAAGCATCATATTTTGGGGTTTTCTAAATTAAATTTTCAGGTGTATTTCCAGGTTGACTTTGCTTTGCTTTTTTTCCCTCAAACTGTGTTGTTATTATTGTTGGGTACCACTGAGTGAATTCCAATTCGTAGTGATGCTATAGGACAGAGTAGAACAGCCCTGTAGGCTTTCCAAGGCCACAAACCCGTACAGAAACAGACTGCCACAGTTTTCTTCCACGGAGCAGCTGGTGCTTTCAAACCACCAGCCTTTAGTTTGGTTAGCAGCTGAGCATGAGCACTTCAAACACTGTGCCACTCCCATTTCCTTTTGTCCACTGCAGTGGGAGACTGATTACTTCCCTTGTGGCCTGGTCCCTGTCCCATCCAGCGGCTAAGAGGCATATGATTTTCCTCTTACTCCCCAATATTGTCCTCCTCCCCTGTCTTTCAAGGAGCTCAGGTAGCATAGTGCTTACTAGTTGGGCTGCTAACCTCAAGGTCAGCAGTTTGAAAGTACCAGCTGTTCGGGGGGAGAAAGATGAGGCTTTCTGCTCCCATAAAGATTAGCAGCCTCGGAAAATCCTATATGGGGTCTGAATCGACTCCACAGCACATACCACCATGATCCTCCCCCCGGCCCCATCTTTCAGATAAAATTGTAGGGAGTAAATGAGAGGTGGCAGGTTAGACCTATCACGCAGTGTCTGGCATAACCCAATGACTATCGGCCAATGCTGTTGCCATCCTCACGACTGCTCTCTGTAAATGTAAAGTGGGAGGAGGGGATGAAGGAAGAACCTCATCAGGGTCCAGGACTCCTTATCTGTGGAGTGAGAAGCAGGGAGTAAATGACTACCTAGGCTCTGACAGCTCTAGTATTGTGTTGACTACTGACATGTTTACATGTCTGAGACACATTTGCAGTCTGTTTTACAGATTGTTTTACAATGTAGGTTACAGCTACAGGACTTTGACCCTGTTCTGGTCCACCAACCTCCAACACACACCCACGCACACACACACGTGATTTCCACCCCAAATATAATGAATGAGAATCTACATTTTAACCAGATATTCACGTGGTTCTTGCAGCTCCCCAGGTGATGCATTTGTGTCTTTTCTTCTGTATACAACAAGAATCACCTGGGGATCTTATACACCTAGATTTCTGATTCAGTATGTTTGGGTGGAAAGGAAAATTATCAGCAGGGACCTGAATTAGAATAAACCAGTTTAAAGCCCTTTGTTTACCATTTCACATCTATAAATGTTTTACCACCAGTTGCAACATCATTCGTTATTTCTGGATTGTGTTCCACTACAAGGACACCATGATTTACTTGCTCCTGCCCAGCCTTGGGCATTCGGATTACTTCCAGTTCACATTTATACAGATACATGATATGACCATATTTAAAGATATATGTAATAGGCTTTTATGGAGTCCTGGTGTGGTGCTGTGTGATAAGCACTGGACTGCTGACCATAAGGTCAGTGGTTCAAACGCACCGCCTCCTTGGAAACCTATATAGATTTGCTGTGAGTGCTTGCTTCCTTACTATTAAGATCCTTCTTCCTCCTACATTTTGTTGTGTTTTAGGTGAAAATTTACACAGCAAGTTGTTCTTTTTAATATTTGCCTATTTAATAAGCAGACAATAGCATCTTACTCTTATTTGATGGCACTACACCACGAGGTCATCAGTCAAACCCACCAGCCACTCCTCAGGAGACGAGGCTGTCTGCTCCCGTAAAGGTTTAGCTTCGGAAATCCTCTGTGTGGGTTGCTGTGAGTGGGAATCGGCTTGATAGCAGTGGGTTTCCTTGTTTTGTTTTTTGTTCCTTTCAATGAGCCTGAGGCTAGGAAGTTAAGTGGTCACTTAAACATTTTTAAGTATATTGTTGGCTTCTCTACTTTGCTGATTTTTATATCAGTGTTGTATATTTAACCCTTCATCATAACATATGCAGAAAAACATATTATGTGGTTTGAATGATGCCCTGGTAAAATCGTTAAATATGCTTCCTTGTGGTTATGTCGTCTGTTTTTCATTACTAATATTTCAGATGTAGCATTGGCAGCAGTTCTTGTCCCTGTGCTAGTCATGGTGCTCACTACCCTTATTCTCATCTTCGTGTGTGCTTGGCATTGGAGAAACAGGTTAGTATGGCACTAATTCACCTCGCTGTTCTAAAGGGTGGTATGTTCAGAAACTACCAAATGGGAAGTAGAAACTGAAAGTAGACGATGAAATACAGTTCACTTTTTTGAGAAAGAGAATTATACTGGTCATTAGAATAAAAACAACGTACGTCACCTTTATTCCTATTAAAAACAACTCCACTCAATCAGTCAGCTTACTGGGTAACTTTATTGTGTCAAACTCTGTGCTAAGCACTTATATTTACAGATACAAGTGGGTGCTCAGTAGTATTTACTGAAAGAATAAAAGACACAATTCCTGTCTCCAAAAAATTCAGAGTTGCATCAAAAGATGGAAGGGGAGTACAGAATCACTATCAAAAAGAATTGGTTGACACTCACCCACTTCAGGAGGTAACAGGATCAAGAACCGATGATATTGAAGAAAGAAGTCCGAGCTGTACTGAAGGCATTGGCAAAAACCAAGGATCCTGAAATTGATGGATAACTAAAATGTTTCAGCAAATGGATGCAGCACTGGAGATAGTCACCTATGCCAAGAAATTTAGAGGACAGCTACCTAGCCAACTTATTGAAAAAGACCCATATTTGTGCCCATTTCAAACAAAGGTGATCCAACGAAAAGCAGGAATTATCGAACAGTATCATTAATATCATACACATATTTTTTCTGAAAATAATTCAGAAGTGATGTAGCACTACATCATCAAGGAGCTACCAGAAATTCAAACCAGATTCAGAAGAAAACATGGAATGAGGAATATCATTGTTTACATCAGATGGATCTTGATTGAAAGCAGAGAATATGAAAAAATGTTTACCTGTGTTCTATTGATAATGCAAAGGTATTAGATTTTGTCATCATAACAAATTATGGATGACATTGTGAAGAATGGGAACTCTAGAATGCTTAATTGAGTTTATGTGGAACCTGTCCCTGGACAAAAAGAGGCAGTCATTCTAACAGATCAAGGGAATGCTTCATGGTTTAAAGTCAGGCGAGGTGTGTGTTGGAATTGTATCCTTTCCCCATACTTACTCAAACTATGCTGAGCAGAAGCTGGAAGGCTGTTGCATCTGGATTGGAGGAACAGTTATTAACAACCTGCAATGTACAGGGTGGAAGGTAAGAGAAAAAGAGGACGACCCCCCAACGACATGGATTGGCCAGGTGGCAGCATCGATGGACTCAAGCATGGCAATGATAGTGAGGTTGGCTCAGGATTGGCCAGTGTTTCATTCTGCTGTGCATAGGGTCGCTATGAGTTGGTACCGGCTCTATGGCACCTAACAGCAACAATGTACAGATGATCCTACTTTTCTTGATGAAAGAGAGGAAGACTTAAAGCTGTTACTGATGAGATCAAAGAGTACAGCCTTCAGTATGGGTTATATACATCTCAGCATAAAGAACACAAAAATCCTCACAACTGATCAATAAGCAACATCACGGTAAACAGAGAAAATATTAAAGTCGTCAAGGATTTCATTTTACTTGGATCTACAGTCAATATTCAAGGAAGCAGTAGTCAAGAAATTAAACAATGTATTTCATTGGGCAAATCTGCTGCGGTAGTCCTTTTTAAGGTGTTAAAAAAAACAAAGATGTTATTTTGAGAACTAAAATATGCCAGGCCCAAGCCATGGGCCATGGTATTGTCAATTGCATCATAAGCATGCAAAAGCTAAACAATGCATAAGGAAGACCAAAGGAGAATTGATGCCTTTGAATTAGGTTGTTAACAACAACACCACCAAAAAACAAAAACATTGACTAGACCATGAATTGCCACAGAACAAAGAAATCTATCTGGGAAAATGTACAGCCAGGTTGCTTCTTAGAAGGAAGGGTGGATAGACTTCATCTAATGTCCTTTGGACACGTTAGATGCACCATTCTTTGGAGAAGAGCACTGTAATTGGTAGAGAGGCTGCAAAAAGAGCAAGACCCTCAAGGAGATGGTTTAACACAGTGGCTACAACAATCAGCTCAAAGATCACGATGATTTAAGGATAGTGCAGGAGCAGGTAGTATTTCATTTGTTCCAACTCATAGGATCATCTTGAGGGCACCTAACAGCAACCACCTGTATAGATTGTTGTTGTTAAGTGATGTTGAGTCGTTTCAACTCATTGTGGTCCTACATTGGTTTTCCAAGAAGCAGCTGATGAGTTTGAACCACTAACCTTGTGATTAGCAGCCCAGCACCACACCAGGAGTTACCTGAAGATCAGATGAAAGTGTATACTCTTGATTAATTGTTAGTCTTGGTATCTGTTCTGCAATTTCAAGAGATTTCTTACCTGTGCATTCACTGTTTACTAAGTACTGCCTCCCATTTCTTTGTATTTTTCTAGAAAGAAAAAAACTGAAGGCACCTATGATTTACCTTACTGGGACCGGGCAGGTAATGTCTGTGTTCTTTTCATCTTTCCATCTGAGGGAATTGTGGCAGTAGTGAAAGAAAGTTATTCTTGGATCCATTTGAATTCCTCTTGTGTTGTGACCATTTTCACCCTTCTGCAAAATCTCTTCTAATTTTTAACTTACAGAATGGAAAGTAACTTGTTTCATTGTACATGCTCTGTTCTTTTTCTTCTGGAAGTCGTGTGGTTTCTCCTGTGTATTTGTTTCTTAGGAGACCAGCATTCTGGCCGAGGTGGACAACTATGTAAGAAACAAATGACCGTGGTTGTTGGACATTTGCTGTGATTATTTACTAGGGGTGGAGTAGGGCTTAGGGGATGGTGAGTGCAGCAGACAAGGAATCTCTGAGCTCTGATTTCTCTGACATGATTAGTTGTCATCTTCTGAATCCCTACTCTGTATAGCAGATGGTGTATGCTACAAGCGTACTGGAACACCCTCCAGCTATCCCACTTCCCCAGTCTCATTACTGGAAGTACCATTGAGAGCAAAGACAATTCTCTGCTGTGACCAGGGTAGACAAAGGCAGTGGTAGGGGCAGCTCATTGTGCTGCTAGTGCTCCAGGGTGGAACTCAAAAAATAAAATTTTTTGAGAAAAACTTAAACAGAAACTACCCCTATAACATACAAGTATATGTAGCTACAGTTTAAAAGCAGAATTTGTTTCTGCCTATTAACTTTTTCCTCTTTAATTGTAAAAAAATTTGTTGAGAATTCACACTGTAAAACATACACCAAGTCAACCATTTCTACATGCCCAATTGAGTTGTATGGATTCCATTTTCTGAGTTGTAAAGTCATTTTCATCCTCCTCTTCCAAGTTACTCCTCCCTCAGTTATATTAACTCACTGCCCGCAAAGGTTCCTATTTAATCTTGCAAGTTACCATTGTCAATTTGATCCCATATAGATAGATACTAATAAAAGAGCCTAATGCTCAAGGCAGACTGTTTTCACGGATTAAGCTGAACTATATCATTCAGTTTTAAGACTTAAGGGGATATTTTTGGTTTAAGGTATTATAAATCTGCCCATCTTTTTAATTGTGGGAGCCCTGGTGATGCGGTGGGTTAGGTATTGGGCTGCTAACACAAGGTCTGCAGTTCAAGCCCCAAAGCCACTCTGTAAGAGAATGATGACCCTATAGAGGGCCACTATGAGTACTCATGGAAATAGTTTCCATACAATAGAATTGCTGACTGTTACCACTTGAGATATGTGTTTTGATTTAATGGCCTTTTTTGTTACAACCCAATGAAGGTTGGTGGAAAGGAATGAAGCAGTTTCTCCCTGCCAAATCAGTTGAACACGAAGAAACCCCGGTTCGCTACAGCAACAGTGAAGTGAATCACTTGAGTCCAAGAGAAGTTACCACAGTGTTGCAGGCTGACTCTGCAGGTACCAACTCCGTGACTGCACAGGCACTGAGGGGCGGGGGGCAGTGCTTGCTGGGAAGCATGTTGAAACCTTAAAGTATCTGTACCTTTTTCATGTTTAAGGATGAGCTCATTTCCAAAAGGAGAAGCATTTTTTAGAAAGATACTCTTGAGAAAGTCATTTCTATTTTAGCCATAGAGTCAGGGCATTCATTTAGGAAAACTGAGCATTTTCTGTGGTTATTTAGGGGAGTTAGAAGAACAGCAGGAGAGACATAGTGGGTTTTCCTTTAAGTGCTTACTTATTTTAAAAATCTAATATTTGAAAAAGAAAGCAATAGTCTCTGAAATGATTTCCCAATATTAAGATTACTCCAATAATGGAGTATTTCTCTTCAAATAAAATAATGTTGATGCAAAGTTACATGACTAAACCTTTTGGCATACATAAGATAACATTAATTTTTTAAAACTGATTCTTGTAATTAAGAAATATATAGCGACTGTAGCAATAAAAGTGCTATAAAGTGTCTACTTCAGGCATAAGCCTGCAGCTACCACTTTGAATTGTGTGATGAATAAGGTAACTTTCTGTCATGTTTTGTGACATCCGTAGAGTATGCACAACCACTTGTCGGAGGAATTGTTGGCACACTTCATCAGAGATCTACCTTTAAACCAGAAGAAGGAAAAGAAGCAGGCTATGCTGACCTGGATCCTTACAACTCACCAGGGCAGGAGGTTTATCATGCCTACGCCGAACCACTCCCCATCACTGGGCCTGAGTATGCAACACCCATCGTCATGGATATGTCAGGGCACCCCGCAGCCTCTGTTGGTCTGCCCTCCACGTCTACTTTCAAAGCCACAGGGAACCAACCTCCCCCTTTAGTGGGAACTTACAATACTCTTCTCTCCAGGACGGACAGCTGCTCCTCTGCCAGGGCCCAGTATGACACCCCAAAAGGTGGGAAGCCAGGCCCAAGTACCGCAGATGAATTGGTATACCAAGTGCCACAGAGCACGCAGGAAGTATCAGGAGCAGGGAGGGAGGGTGACTGTGATGTTTTACAAGAAATCCTTTGAAGGTGATGCTGCTTTATCACAGCGTCATTTTAAAGCACATGGCCTGTTTTTGCATTAGTAAGTAGTAATATATAGAATGTATTAAGTTATCTGTCACTGAAATGGTTGAGGAAAATGTGATAACCAAGGTACAGGAAACTAGTAATCTTGCCATCTTGCTTTAAAGGTATAACTGTGGCAGTTACTGCTTGCCTGTTAAATTCTGAACAGCCTGTTTGTTACTACTGTAAAACACTATTTTTAATACAGAAAAAGCTCTCTATAATGCACTTCAAAGACATTAGGAATCACTGAGAGAAAGTATTTATTTACCAGTACTGCAGGTACATTATGAACTCAAGAGATGGCTCTAAGCCTGTTTGGCAATAACGCATGGTACTGTTCTTGAACTATCTAATGGCTTGAAATTCTGCTCTTTGTGAAAGGTGGGTACTATCATAATCTTCTCCTTTTTCTATTCCTAGATTGATTTCCAGATTGATTTTTTAAAGAATTATAATGTTGTGATATCACCATTGGTTTGTTGGCAGTCATATACAGTTCTCCATCTTTCATTTGGAAGATCTGTAGCGCAGAACCTCTGAATGACTGATTTTTCACTTTTTAACCTCCCTAAGAGCTTTAACACTTCATGGTACGTGATCTGGTCTCAGTCCTGCGGGTTCTGCCTGGGGCACTTGGTGACCAGAACCATTCTTTATGAAATGTTCTAAGATTTTCCGGTAGTTGATACTTGTGATCATCTAATAGGGGTCAGCAGTTTGAACCCACCCAGGAGTCCTGGTGTGGCACTGTGGGTTAATGCGCCAGACTTGCAAAGCTGTTTGAACTGCAAGGTCGGCAGTTCAAGCTCACCAGCTGCTCCTTGGAAACCCTGTACAGGGTTGCCATGGGTCGTAACCGACTCGATGGCACTTCACAACAACAAGTGGCTTACTTGGAGGAAGACTTGGTGGTCTACTTGCATAAAGATTAGCATTTGGAAAGCCTGTTGGGGCAGTTCTAGTCTGTCCTATGTCCAGGGCCACTGTGAGTTGGAATATGCTCAATGGCAGTAATTTTGAGTAATATCTTAGAGTGTACTTCTTCACGTGAAAACAGGAACATCTTTAATTTGGAAAAACTAAAGGCAATTCTTCCCTGTCTCCTTACCCTACAACCGTTTTCTGCAATGGGATTTTTCCGTAAAGAATGGTGAAAAGTTACAGTGAATTAAGCGACTGCTATAATAAACATGTTCATTCATGTTTATGACAACGAAAGGCTAGATTATTTACTCAGAAATAATATAAATGGCCTTTTACAAAAGTAACGACCAGTTTTCCCCTTTGGTTTTATAATTCTCCTTGAGTCTAGAATTATTATAACCTTTAGTTGCAAAAAAATAACTTTTACATAAAATATAAACTCACATATTCTTCAGTTCTGCTAGATTTTCTGGTTTGGTGTGGTGAGAGTATGAGGAATCCTTTATGTCCTACCTGGGGAATAGATGTTACAGCATCCTACCAAAAGGATATAGCACCCTATCTTAGCAGTCACGTCATGGGTTTGATACGTCATAGCACCTTCTCTGTCACAATTCATGACCTGCTCCTGAACTAGTTTAACATAATATGAAGCAGAAATCATCCGTAATGTATTCTATCCTGTACAAGAGGGACCCTCCCTGGTGGTGAAACAGTTAAGTGCTCAGATGCTATCCAAAAGGTTAGTGATTCAAACCCACCCAGTGGCTGCAGGAGAAAGACCTGATGATAATGTACTTCGAGTAAAGATGAGAACCTGGAAACCCTGTGTACTTGTTCTGCTCTGTCATATGGGATTGCTATTACCAAATCAATTTGACTGCACACAACAGCCAACAAACCAAAACCAAGCCCAGTACCATCAAAGTCAGTCTGGACTCATAGCTACCCTATATCGGATTTCTGAGATTAGATCTTTTCAGGGGCAGACAGCTTCATCTGGTAGGTTTGAACTGCTTGCCATGTGGTTAGCAGTCCCAACCTAAACCACAGTGCCACAAGGGCTCCTTGCACTCAACAACATAGTTTAAAAACCCTCTTTAAAAGTCTTGAGACTGGAAAGATGATGTAAGAAGTTGGCCATATGATAGAAATACCTAAATTTGACAGTCCCTCTTCCATAGTACCTTAGTGCTGAAATTGTAGTCACTTTTGTTGACCTGTGCCACCAGATTGTGATACTGTAAGAATTAATTAAGGATGAATAAACATGAATAGTATTCATTTTGCTTGCTTGCACAAGCATGTCAGTATTCTAAAACATTGCTTCCAAAAATATAAGGGGCTTCAAAAAGTTCATGGAAGCATTAGAATGAAAGGATAATGGAATTTTTCCACAACTTTATGCATCCCCTTCCTAGAACAGTTTATTTTTGTGGGCTCCCTGCCCTCCTTTCATAAGCTTTAGTTTTTTTGTTTTCCATCTGCTTTTCCTTTTTCAGTCAAATTTGAGGCACAATTTTATTCATGGAAGAATCAATACGTATTTTGTTTCAAAAGACTTGAAACAAAAAGCACAGATGTTGAAATTAAAACATTCATGAATATATGTAAAGCACATGTATTAATGCAAGCATCCCTTTTCAGGTGAGAAGAGAGTAGTAAATAAAATTTTTTCGATATCTTTATCCCATAGAGAATAGAAGTTTCCTCAAACTCTACCTGCTTGAAGCTTTACGAAAAATGTTTCAATCACTACTTCATTTTCCCAAAGGTGGCTTGCTATTTTCGTGTCATTATGTGTACCTGGTTTTTTTTCCCCTTCTCTGGAACTTTGTTTTCTAATTGAGGCAAGTGTTTTCTTACATAATACATATATCAAGACTTGATTCACACTGCCACTGTGCTGTCCTTGAACTACCAATGAATTTGTATAGAATGACTAGTTTTAACTACTTTTATATACTTCACTATCCATATGACGAACTGAGCCTGAAGATTTTTTTCTGGTTTTGTACGTTTTCTTCTAATTCATTTGTTTGCATATTAGAAGTCTTTTTTTGTTTTGTTTTCCATTCTTTATAGCTAAGTTTATACATCTGTTATATATACAACATTTTTTGGAGACAATCAAGTAACAACTGAAAATGTGAAAGTAACCATTTTTGACAAAATTCCTTTGAATTTTTATTCTTTGCTTGAAACATTTAAAAGATTAAGTCATTGTGGTTTAACTGATTTTTTTTTTTTCCTACTAATACACTTATAGAAATAGAACCAGACAGTGGCAACAGCAAATGTGGCCATTACAGGTTTCATAAAATTACACTGACTTCACTGTTACTTGATCTTATAAACCAGCACAGTTAAAGATAGATGTTGAGAATTTTCATTTATATTTTATTAAAAGCTATAAATCTGAAATGATTCTATTCTATGTGCAGGGTCTAGTCCAGTTATTTAAGTTCACATTTCACTATCTGCACTTTGCATTTAACAGTGGGTTTATTCACTGATGAAAATGGTTTGAGTAGAGAATTTATACAGGAATTGAGATGATGGTATGTATATATTCACTCTCCCCAATTCCATGAGATTGGGGGTGTGTAAAATTTGAGCTCATCTAATATGAATGTGGCCACAACATTATGTCAAGTGACAACACCTGGCCCTTACACCTTGACTTCACATTGTAACCTGGAGAGCAAAAGGGCGGTAAAACACCATATCAGATAAATATTATTTGAAAGAATGAATCAATTTTGGGGCCACTGAAAGCTTTTCAGACCCTCTTAAAAGTAATCTCTGAAGCTCTGCCTAAAAACAACAATATCTTATTAGCTCTTTCAGTTCTGCACTTGAAGACCCAAAACTACAAAATCTAAGTAAGAGTTGGATGATTATTAAAATATTTTAAGGTCATTTTTGGCACCAATTCTACCCATTTACTCCAACTCATCAGTAGTATTTCCTTCTTCCTCCTCTTTGGTTTTTTTTTTTTTTTTTTCCCCCTTTCCTTTTTGTTTTTGGCACTGAGAAAGGTGGAAACACAACAAAAATGCATATTGGAAGTAAATGGCTTGTGTGTCAGTGATAATTCCCCCAGAATGTACTTTTCTTACCTCGGCATGTACTGTAGTCACTCAATATTTGTATATGTTGCTAGAATTTAGATTGTATCAATAGTGAGAGTTTTAATGTGTTTTCATGTGTTTAATTGTATATATGTGTCTTGCTCAAATTATTTAGCTTAAATAAAACACTGAGGTTTGTAGCCTTGTCTAGTACTATACAAATGCCAGCTTCCTCAATTTTAACATCTTTCTAACATCAGTCAGAAAGAAATGTTTTGGTCACATTTGAAAATGCCACTAAAAGTTACGGATTTTGACATTTGTTTTTCTGTACTCAGCAGCATCGTTTTTGAAGCCTGGTTCACTGTATTAGCATTCTGAACACTTCAGCAACCCAGCTGCAACCTGTATCTCATTGAGCCCATGTGGATTCTGGTCTAGTACCTGCCTTTTCTACTTCAGAGTAATTGTAATAATCAAATGACACCATGGTACTATGCAGAGGTAGGCTGGTATTAACCAAACACGGTCCATAAAGGAAAATTAATGATTAAACCTGGTTAAAGTAGCCACTAGTTTTCTCCCCCTTACACTGCTTTTCAGTATTTTATGTATTCCTGATTTGGAACCTTCCTTTAGGAAAAATTGGTTGTGGACATCCCTATATTATTTATTATTCATAATATATTACTTCTTTGCCTCTTACCTCTTCTCATAACTTTGATACCTTTTTATATCAGATTTCTCCACAAATATCCTTTGGTTTTATTCCATGGGATTCCTTTCTTGGTAAATCCTAAGATGGCTTCTACTCTAAAGGAAGGTAGCCAGATAAAATTTCCGTGTGAAGATTGCCTTTAATGCCTTTAAACACAAGAAAAATGGAGACTCATAACACAAAGGTGCTTCAATTAAATCTAAAACACAGCTTGGCTCTATAAGGATTAATTTAAACCTTTAAATTTTAATGAATAAATTAACCCAGACGAACAATATTTAAGAATTTTCTTCTTCTTGAGCTTAGCTAGTGTACTTCTGATTTGAAATAAACTATTAATTAAAAGTTAAACTATTTCTTTTAAAATAATGCAAAGCCACCAGACCAATAATTAAATAGTTACTGATTCAGAATTTCATGTGTAACCTATTTCTTATGGCTTAGACATTTTTTAAAAAGCCTATTTATTCTATGAAAATGCTTATGAGAATCTTATAGTTTGATTAAACCAATATAGACTCTGATTTTCATAGCTATGTACTGTAACTGGTGGTGGTGGTTATGTGCCGTGGAGTCGGATCCGACTCATAGCGACCCTGTACAGGGTTTCTGAGGCTGTAAATCTTTATGGGAGCAGAAAGCCTCATCTTTCTCCCTCGGAACAGCTGGTAGTTTCGAACTGCTGACCTTGTGGTTCACAGCACGATTCATAACCACTATGCTACCAGAGCTTCTTATGTACTGTTAACTAGGACCGATAGAAGATTCAGATTAGGTTCCCCAGGCAGAACTATTAACAATTAAACTTTTCTCTAAATATAGGCCTGAAATGGTTCCAGTTTGCTGATCAAGGCACAACCACATGCCAATTTCCCAGGAGATAGGTTTACAGTAAATCTGTCTTAAAATATCCCATTCTCCTAAGGTTGGTTACTCCATACTTAATATTATTGTTACATCCCTTCAAAGTCTAAGAAAAAATAATTATAAAAAGACGTTTAAAAATACATTAGAAAATCATCTATTAAAAATACAATGTGGTCAAACTTTTAATTTTTGTCTTGATATCTTAACTTTTCTTGGTTTTCATAAATATTTCATTTAATTTCACAGAAATTAAACTGGTGATTATGAATCACCAGGTAGCAACAAACTTAATATACATAATCTTTGACAAGTGTATCCAACATAATTAAAAATAAAGCAAAAAGTTACAATATAAAAATAAAACAAATACTGTTATAGTGTCATCTTGGGCGTCTGTAGGTTCATTCTTGAGTCAAATTGATTACGTAGTTCTTTTCTATAATGTCTTTCAGAAAGAGCTGCTCTGCGGTCACATTGTGATATGCATTCTAAAGAGGTAAAAAACAAGCAATTAAAGTTTGCAAAGAAATGAGTAGAATGTGACATAAGGAGCATGTGACATGGACTTTTAATTTTTCTTTCATTCTGCTCATTTTTGTGCCAGAGCTTTCCCAAAGCCCACTCTTCCCACTTATGCTACCTTAAGCTACCACATAAGTGAGGCTCATACCTCAGGTCATAGCTACTAAATCTAGTTAACAAAATTGTAAGTCAGAGTGGGTTGATCACTTTTATAAAAGCAAGCAGTACCTGGAACTCGAAGAATCCATGTGTTGTTGTGCTGTCAAATTGGTTCCAACTCATAGCAACCTTGTATAGGGTTTCCAAGAAACAGCTGGTGGGTTTGAACTGCCAACCTTGTGGTTCGCAGTCCAGTGTTGATCCTACAGTGCCACACCAGGGGTCCATTTAAGATGTACTAAAATAAATAAACCTGCCCTTTCAATGGGTATCCTCATTTTCCTCCAGAACCTGTATTTTTCTTCACCATTTCTTTTAAAGAAACAGTTCAGCGCAGAGTTGTTTTAACGTTCTGTTTAGGTGACTTGTGAAGTACCACAAATGCTACAGGAGAGGTTAGGGCTGAGGAGAAATGAGCCCAACCTAAAGTCTGTCCAAAAGGAGTGGTTAACATTCAGCTGCTAACCAAAGGATTGGTGGTTCAAAGCCCCTACTAGCCACTCTTCTTCTGCTCCCATAAAAATTACAGCTTAGGAGACCCTATGGGGCAGTTTTACTGTCTTAAAGGGTCACTGGAGTCCTGGTGTTGTGTTGTAGGATACTGCAGTGGAAAGAATATAAGGTCAGTTTTAACCGAAAGGTCAGTGGCTCAAACACACCAGCTGCTCCTCAGAAACCTTATACAGGGTCGCTATGAGTTGGAACCGACTCGCCGGCCCTTAACAACATATAGGGTCACTATAGAGCCTTGGTGTGGCACTGTAGGGTAAGCAATGATTTAATAATCAAAAGGGCAGCAGTTTAAACCCAGGAGCTACTCTTCGGAAAGCCTATACAGGGTTGCTATGAGTCAGAACTATTAATAGCAACAACATACGGTCACTGAATAAGAGTTGGCTCTATGGCTCCTTCCTTTTGAACTCATTTTCATTTTGTTGGGTTTTTTTCTTTTTTCACAGGAGAGGTTAGGGATGATGTGAAGACAAAAGACAAGACATAACCAAAATAATCCTGCTGCTTGCTTCATGTCATATTCTGGGATAATGGTTTCATAGGAGAAGCACTGGACTGCTAACCCAAGGGCAGAAGTCCAAGCTCACCAGCCACTCTTTGGAAATCCTATACAGGATTGCTGAGTCAGAGCCAACTCAACAGTACTTAACAACTTATATATAGTTTAAGCCACAGCTTGTGGGGCTGTGGGTTAGGCATTGGGCTGCTAACCATAAAATCAGCATTTCAAACCCACCAGCCACTCTGAGGGAGATAGCTAAGACTGTCTTCACCTGTAAAGATTTACAAGGTCAGAACCCTACACAGGGTAGCTATAGTCAGGATTCACATGATGACAGTGGGTATCATTCATATTTCTGTATTAAAAGCATACTGATAAAATTTAAATCTTATCACTTGCAATGTACCACTAATCTAAGTTAAAATTAGGTAAATGAGGAAACTACTCATTCAATGACAAATCCTCAGGATCATATTTATCAACACTGATTCCTATTCCAAGAGAAGTAGGATATTTTAAAGGTTTGCAACCTGAGTGTTTTAAAAATAGATCTCATCTACTGCACTGAAGAAGTTCATGAAAATAATTACTGTGAGCATGGGCATGTTTTTAAATGAACTTACCTCAAACAGAGCAGGTTGTCTGTGTATATGTATTTACGTAGTACAACTGAGTCAGTATCTTAAGACAAAAATACCTGACAATAACCTGACTCCCACAAATTGGGACAAGCTGCTGTAGTCCCATGGGCCTTTGGACTTGAGTCATAGTTACAGCACTTAATACATCTGTAACCCCTATCAGGTCATCATCTCTCAAAACCTCAGTTTCCCCAGTAAAATGAGAGAGCAAGAAGAGAGAGAATATAAGCTTTCCAACAATAAAGATTAAAGGGTAGCCCTATGCATACATATGACCTATATGCACATTACCTGACTCATCAAAGACATGGTAGCATTCCCATAATAGTGCAAAGGACTCCTGATGTCAGAAAAATTATATTTAAAACCAGCTACGTGAACTTCATGACATATATGAAATGCCAATGTGATGGCAATAATTCCTGTCGTTGGGTGTTTGGGTTTCTGAGGGCAAAAAATAACAAAATTAAAATTAAGAACATTGAAAACTATGCTGAAAAACTTCCAAATACGTTTCTTGTGCCTAAGGCATGTTTGAATAAAATCATATTTAATTAAACCCTCATCGTACCCTAAGGCTCAAGCCCAAAACATGTAGTATACACATGGAGAGGCTTCACAGGAAAACAATGAAAAGGATGGAATTTTTCCATGAACTTTTTGAAACTCCTCCTCGTAAGTGTGATGGAATAATAGAGAGCCTTTCAAGTAGAATTCAGCTGTGGAACTAGCCTTGCAGTATCCCTGCATAGTACAAACAGTTTAGCACTCATCTGGTAAGCCAAAGGTTGGAGATTTGAGTGTTCCCAGAGGCACCTAGGAAGAAAGGCCTGGTGATCAACTTCCAAGAAACCAACTATAGTAAATTGTATGAAGCAAAGTACTACTCAGACACACATGGTACTGCCATGAGTCAATGTCAACTTGACAACAGCTCTTACTAGTTATTAGCTGTGTGTACCACTATCAAATGATGGGTCATTTTAAGGCTCAAGGAAAAGGAAACTTGTAAACTTTAAAAACATGCTGAGCCAGCTTTCCTTGTGGAAAAAGCAAAACCTAGGAAGTTTGAATACATGCATGAACTGTAAAGAAGATAGCTTAATTCACTAATGGACAGACAGAATCCTTGGTATATGGCATCATATTAATCAACAGCCTTAACATAGCTTTATTATTTTGATGATGATAATCCTGGTGACAACGTAGTTCTGAGGAAAGACTAACTTTAATCAAGAAACTTCAAAGACAAAATGTAATAGTATCTGACTCTTAAAACTAAAGTTTCTAGAAGTGTTAACAATGGCAGACTCTCAACAAGCTCATAAAAAGTTAAAAAAGAAAACCAAGCATATAAAACATTCCATATATAGATACTCTTGAAAACTACTTGAAATAATGTTTAACAAGAAGGTCATGATATGCAAGTTTTAATTCTACTTGGGATGGCTTTCAAAGGCAAAAAAACATCTCTCATAGCAATTGAAGGACATTTCTTTTCAATTAAATGTATCTTAAGAATCCCATAAAAATCACATAATTGTTATTTTTTAAGAAAATAAAAGGTACTCCAGGAGGACAAAGGAGTTCTGGTAATGTAGTAAGGTTAAGAATCGGGCTGCTAACCTCAAGGTCGGCAGTTTGAAACTTCCAGTGATTCTGCGGGAGAAAGATGAGGTGTTCTGCTCCTGTAAAGATTTACAGCCTCGGAAACCCTGTGCAGGGTCGCTATGAGTCGGAACTGACTCCACGGTATTTAACAACAAGGAGGACAAACTTGTCTGAAGGCATACTAGCATTTATCATCAGCTTTTCTTTATCCCGTGCACCACTCTGACTCTCACAAGCTTTTACCATCTGCTAGAGATGGACCACATGATTGATTTGAACTGCAACGTTGGCAGTTCAGACTCACCAATCGGTCCTTGATGTGCGATCCTATACAGGGTAGCTATAAGTCAAAACTGACTGGACAGCAATTAACAGAAGCAAGTTAATGGTTAGGTTAAAAACCTAGGAGTCATTTGGTTACATTGATTTCATCACTTTTTCTCTGTCCTTCCTCTTTTCCACTGCTTCCTTCACAGCTTAGATTTCTGATCCATAATTTTCCCCTTAGGTAGATACCTACTTCCTTCACCCATCACCCACAGCACCTTTATCTGCCTGGCAGAATCTTAACCCTTGTTAAATCCTTATTTTTTCTAAGAAAATGGAAACAATTTTGACAGAACATCATCATCTTCCCAACTCCAATTCTACCCCTTACCTGCCTCTTTACCCATATTTTTCAGCGTTCACTCCTTTTGTAGTTGGTGACATGCCCGTTTCAACCTATAGCCAATCCTTTCACATTACTGTATTTTACCCTATCCTTTCAGTAACTTTGCTTATAGAATTACTCACTTTCTCACTGTTTTCAATAGTGCCATCATCATTCCCTTCAGCACGCCACACACATCATTTAACTTTAAAAAACAAAACAAAAATTCCTTGCTTCCTTTATCCTATGCTAGTTTCCAACTATTGATTTTCTTTCTTTTCCTCCTTTTACAAAAGTAAAATTCCATTAAAGATTTGTCTGTGCTTGCTCATGTCCCTTGTTCTCTTTAACCCAGTTCAGTCTGCTTGCCTCCTCTTGTCCTCATCACTACTATCACTAATCTTCATGTTCCAAAATCAGGGTAAATTTCTTTGTGCTCAACCTTTGGACAGCATTCAATATGGAGGGCCTCTCTTGAAATACAGTAGTGTCCTCACTTGGTATCTGGAGCACCATGTTCTAAAGACTAATAAAACTAGTCCTAGTATCCTCTCTAAACATGATCAGTGTCGTCTTATGCATGAAGTTAAGAGATACTACCCCAAGGGAAAAATCGGATCATACTTAGGAAAACATCAGGAACTGAAAAATTATAAATTTTACATTCAGAAGCTATTCTCTCTCCTCAGAATTAATAAGAAATGGGATTTGGAGTTCAAATAGCCAGTGTTTTTTGACTTGGGAATTTCACTTCCAGGAATCTACACTTCTGTGCCAAAAAAGAAAAGGCACCTACTGGCATGTTGCTGGGGGTTGATGTGCCAGACTGCAAAGCCATTTGAACTACGTCAGTGGTTCAAGTTCACCAGCTCCTCGTCGGAAACACTATACAGGATCGCTATGGGTCAGAATCAACTCAACGGCACTGAACAACAATAAGCATAAGCCTCACTACATTATTTATAAATGTGAAAAAGCTGGATACAAACCTAAATGTCTACAAATAGAGGGACAGTTCATTAAACGGGGAAGCAACTAGAAAAATACCATGGTATAATCCCAATGACTTTGACCAAAAGGCTATGTGCATGTGTTTGTAAACACACAGAGAATCGCCTAATAGGACATCAAGCGGGAAATCTTGGGAGAAGAAGAGGATGTCTCTTTTTGAACATTTCCCATTTAAGATGTTTAAGGTTTTTTATCACAGTTTTCAGTCTGTTGAAGAAAAGATAACATGGTATGTGTTTATTTTCTTGGGGTTTTCTCTGCATTACCAAGAGAGGAAACCTCATTTTTGTTGAGCAGTCATGTTTCAGTTACTCAAGTTCCAAATGAAAACATGTCTGCCACTTGAGTGCAGAGCATATTGTTTTGCAGAGAATATACAAACAGGACAAGGGTCAAAGTCAGTAAGATTTCTTTTAACTGATCTGAAGTCTCAAGAACTCTCAATATTGCTAAATATTTAGAGTAACATTTATAAGAGTAACATTGTAATTAATTTGTCATATCTTGAAGCTAATTAGAATGTTACTCTTCTGTAACCCCAGAAAAACTCCAGACTACTTTATTGCCCTTTCTCATTTTCCCTCTGGTTGTCCTCTATGTTTTTATTGCTCAGAGTGCTTCACAGGCTGTTCATTCGAGCCTTTAGAGTCATGCACTTGTGAGCAGGTCCTGCTACTGGGAGCAGAAGTGCCCATCAACCCACCCATCCAGCCAGACTCTTGGCTACAAAACATGAAAGGCACATGTGAGCCATAGGGGGCATGCAGGAAAGACCTCACATGAGACCCCATCCCCACCCCCAAGGGCAAGAAGGCTTTCCAGTTTAGGTTTTTTTCCTTGTAACCTGTAAAGAAATGATAATATCCGAAGATAACCTTCTCACTCAGACATGGCCCTCAAAAACCCACCTCAAGGACAGTGGTTTTCATTTAGTTTTGAGAGTCACAGAGACCCTCTATCCCACCCCAGTGAAATCTTTATTTTGAAACTACCAAGAAAGATTGTTGAGTGCTGTTCAAGTCAGTTCCAACTCATGGTAACTGTATAGGGTTTCCGAGGAGCAGTTGGTGAGCTTGAACCGCCAACCTTGTGGTTCAAACCGACATCACACCAGGATGCCTAAGGATACGTACCTGATGTGGGGGAAACACTTTTGGGAAATGAAGCAGTTCATAAGCTGCCATTCTGATAATGAAAGGATCTAGTATTCTGATTTGATCAGGTTTATATATCAGGTTTAAAGCTGGTTTCTTCCAAAATCCACGACTGTTCTGAAATAAAGTAACAATGTAGAAGGAAGTACATTATGGAGTGTTTTTAAAGGAAAAAAAAAAAAGCAGAAGGTACTCTGAAAACAGATCAGTTTTGCCAACTTACTAGCTTGCCATCTGTCAGCAATTCCCATAACCATTTTAAATCAAGTGGTTTAAAAGCAATGAGAATCACCGTACTATTAGGTTCACTGTGAATGGGATCTGAAAAAACAGATTCTGGATAAAAAAGTCGGAAGGTTGTCTTTCTCCCAACTTCCTCTTCGTGTCCTAAAACAGGACCATTATTCATTCTGTGGGTGATAAAACACACAAAGAGATGTAGGCCAGGTGCAGTATGAATCACTTCCATCACAATTCTCAGAGGATTAGAATTAGACAGTCAATTATCAGCCAGTTTTTCTGTGCTTAACATCACAAAGCAATTAGGCAATCTTTCTCAAATAATGGTCAGTGAGATTTCCATTTCATGAAACAGCTATTTGATCAAATGCAAAAATACTCATTTGTAACTGGAAATTAATTGATAAAATTCAGTTTTACCTCCAGGAAAGCTGAAGACTAAATAAAGGAAATAGGAACACAGAATAATATTAAACAGAACCAGACAAAACCCCTTGGATTTACAAACAAGGGTCCTGAGAAGATACTTGACCAAGGTTAGACATTCATGTAATGTGTGTCTAAGTGACTGACAAGAATCACCTTTGAGGTGACTTAAAAGCAAATTGAAGTTTTGCATTCTAAAATAAAGTACTAATGTAAAACTGCTGTGTTAGACCTGAGCACAGCAAATGAAAGTCTAGTTACTAGAGTAAGCTAAAAGACCACAAAGGATCTACTATTGGACTAGCGTGTGCCCAACGCCAACGTTAGACATGCACTATTTATACACACCAAGAAAGCCGCTGTAAAGAAAGGAATGCTTTGTTTCCAAAACAGTGTCCCTACTGTTTAACCATTTGCCTGGTGTGGCACAGTAGGATAAAGCACCGGCCTACAAGGTCACTTTGAACCGCAACGTTGGTTCAAACTCACCAGCCACTCCTTGGAAATCCTAGTAGGGTCGCTATGAGTCAGAACCAACTTGATTACACTTAACAACACATGAAATTTAGTCCAATGCAATTGAGTTGATTCTGACTCAGCCACCCTATGTAGGGTTTCTGAGATCTTTTCTTCAGGGGAGCAGAAATCCTCTTTCTCCTTAGAAGTGGCTGGTGAATTCGAACTGCTGGCCTTGTGGTTAGCAGTCCAACATGAATGTAATTTAAGACAATGTTAATAACACTTGAAATGACTTTCATGATGCAAAGCCATGGGTGTTTTTCCACAAGGGCTTGCTGTGTTACTAAGTGATGAGATTCTAGGCAATTATGGGTAATGAAATCCATGCTGGCTTAAAAATTGTTTTGTGGAAAAATTATCACAGCTTCCTCAAAATGAATAATAAACAGAAACTTTTGTTTCAGCTAATGGCTGTTTTCTGTAGAGACACTAGGGAGCTTGGAACCTAGTAAGACCTCTCCTAAGTCATCCCCCAAACTGCCCAGTGAGCCTAATGCACTGTCCCAATGTTCTAGCTTTCCCATACTTCAAAAACCAAGCCATTCCATACCACTCCACTCTCAAGACACTCACTCCCTGTAAATGATGACCTTGCCTTACACTTGCACTGAGAAAACACCACTGCATCTATATGGGACTACTGCTAGTTGTGCCCACAGTCCCTGCTTACCTTTCCATTAAAAGAAGATTGACCACACTTTTGTGCTAGATCCCACGGTGCCATTTTCTCTCTGCCACACCAGTCCCTATTAATTTCTTATTTTTACTTGTTAAGTGCCATCGAGTCAGTTGCTACTCATAGCAACCCCTGTATAGGGTTTCTGAGGAGCAACTGGCAGAAACACTTTCCATTATTCTCCCTTCAGCTACCATCGCATTTCTCAACTTTTCTTTCACAGCAAAATTTCTCAAGAGTTGCCTCTACCAGTTTCTCCACTTCCTCACCTGTCGTTCCTCCAACTCGCTCCACCTGGTCACCTCCCTCATCATGCCTCCTCCAAGCCTACTTTTGTCAATGTTATCAGTGCACTTCAGGCTGTCAGTCCAATGGTGACTGACCTCAGCAACACTGGACATAACTGGCCCTCTGCCCTGAAACTCTTTGCCCTCTCAGCTCCTGTGACCACCTCCTCATTTTCTTCCTCCCTCACTCGTCAATCCCTTCCATCTCGTTTACTCACACCCTTTTCTTTGCTCAAGCTTTGAGTGCTGAATGCTCCAAGGACTAGCCCTGGCTCTCTTCTCTGAGTCTTTTCATAGGAAATCTCATCAAGTTCTGTGGCTTTAATGAATTTTTGATTTTATGAGTCAAAATCAATGTGACAGTAGTGGGGTTTTGGTTTTTATAGGCTGTTAGCCCTCAAAGAGTTTAACCTGTTTATCCAGCTGCCCACTTGGAATCTACTACAAGCATCTCAAACGTAACAGGTTCATAGAGAATTCATGTTTCTTCTCTAAACCTGTTCCAGTGCAGTTTTCCTCAGTTTAATAAATGGAACCACCTTCCAGCCAATCATTAAGTTAAAATCCTGAGAAACAGCCTCTTGGTTTCGTTATTCCTTTCACTCCTCACATCAAATACATCACCCCATCCCAAACCCACTAAGTCAATTCAGACTCCTAGCAACCCTATATAGGGTTTCCAAGAATGTAAATGTTTATGGAAGCCGACAACCTCATATTTCATGGAGCAGCTGGTGTATCTGAACTACTGACCTTGCAGTTAGTAGCCCAATGCCTGACCCACAAGGCCATCAACAAATCCTGTTAACTATTATCTCTAATATCTCTAGTCTCCTCACATTATCTCTTTCCCTGCCATAATAGTATAGTCTTCCACCTGAATACAACCACCTAACTGGCCTCCCTATTTCCACCTCTGTCCCTCATCATATTCTATTCTCTACACCCAAGCCAGAATATTTCAGACATAAGACAGATTTTATTGCTCTCTTGCTTAAAAACCTTTGAATGCATCATGGTTGTTAAGTGCCACTAAGTCAGTCTGGACTGATAGTGATGCTGGTGAATTTGAACCACCAACCTTGTGGTTCAAACTGACCTTGTGGTCCAGTGCTTTAACCCATAGCACCACACCAAAACTTTGAATGCATCCTTCTGTACTTAAAATAAAACCCAGGTTTCTAATACCAGCCTACAAATCACCACCCAGGCTGCTCCTTGCCTGCCTCTTCAGCTGCAGATTGCTGTAATCTCTCAGCCAGCTACCCTCCTCTCTCACTGGTTTTCTTACTGTTTCTCTCAAATCCAGTATCACATCCTCCTTAGGACCGCTAATATTCCCTCTGTCTGGACTGCTCTAACTTTCATGTGGCCACTTAGTTCCAGCCTTAATATCTCAAAGTGGTCATTCACTCAAATCACTCTGTATCCTATCATGTTTTATATCATCTATGTGGCATCTGTTGCTATATTTTCTTACTTGTCTGATCACTTTTCTTCCCTCTTAATAGAATGAAGCTCTGCAGAGGTCAAGAACACTGTTTGTATTAACTGGGTGTTATATGTCCGATGTCTCGAACTGTGCTTCACATATTAAGGGAATGGCTAATCACAAGGTTGGAGGTTTCAAACCCACCATCCACTCCTCAGAAACCCTTAACAGGGTTGCTGATTTGGTACTGACTCAACAGCACGTAACAACAACAAATATTTGCTGGATTAATGACCTGAAATCTACTGTAGAAAACAATTGAGAGAAAACACTGTGTTATCAAGTACATAAGCAAATCTAAGCAACTCTCCTTCCTTTCAAAATACAGCTATTCTACAGTAGGAAATCATGTTCTTTTGAAACATTTCTAGGTTAGGAAATAATAAATATACTTACCTTATTATTACATCATAGGAGTCGATTTTTTCCCCTAATGTCTTATTCTTTAAAATTCCTCCATTACCAACCACCACACACCTTTTACATGGCACGCTGTTGGATAAAACAAAACAAGTGAAAGATTAAGTCATCTTTTGCAAAACTGATTCATTCCAAGAACTTCATTCTTTCAGGAATCCAGTGCCAAATTTCATTTGTTGCCCAAGTAGAAAACAAACTAAGTGTGATTTATAGGTCTAGTACATATCAGAAAGATGAAATTCAAGATCATTCCATAGTGAAAGTATAGCAGCATTTTCAGTGATTATTCATTTTTATAAGCTCGTGCACAATCCTTTGATTTTCATAGCCACCCACTGAGATAAGTAAGCCTCTAGGTGTGGCACAGTGGGCTAATGTGCTAGACTGCAAAGTTGATGGTTCAGGCTTACCAGCAGCTCAACAGAAACCCTATGCAGGGTTGCTATAGGTCAGAACCAACTCAACAGCACTTAACATTCCCCTAAGTTTACAGTGGCAAAGAACAAAAAGAGGTTCAGAAAACAGGTAATGTTTCTAGACCTTTGGACTATAAAAACACCCTTCAACAGGTGATTCTGAATGCTCATGTTGAAACAAGTGTGCTTTGCATTCATTCCCCTGAGATTCTGCCTCTGGGTTTCTCCGCTGCATGCTTTAAATGTGGACCTGGATGGTTGGAATTTGGTGAGTGAAGTACCACTTCCTTGTACCCTGTGCATGCTCACTTCAGTTCCATAAACATGTATTGGTCCTTGGAGCTTAACCAATACAAACAAACATTTCACTCTGTGTTCCTAACAAAGAGCTTTAAAGTAGGACATGAAAGAGGACTTCCTGTTACTGGCTGTGATCAACTTAGAACCATGTGCAGTCACGTCTCAGCAAATATGGTACTGGCCAACTATCTCTCAGCTCTTACCCATGGGGGCAGGACTAAAGAAGTAAGAAATAGATTATGTCCTAATACACTAGAAGTCAAAAACTTCAGAAAGGAAGACAGATGGTCTCATCAGGGCCCTCACTACATGGAAAGTCTAGAGAAACAAAATAATGTTTCCCTAAGAACCAAGGCAACAGCAGACCAGATAGACTCAGAAGCTTAAGGCTCCTAGGAAATTCTGTTGTTAATGGCCCCACCAAGTCAATTCCAACTCATGATGCCTCCACAGGGTTTTCAAAGCTGTGATCTTTTGAACGCAGATCACCAGGCATGTATTCCTAGGTTCTTCTGGTGAGTTTGAACTGCTAACCTTTCGGCTGTAGTCAAGCACTTAGCCATCGATGCTACCCAGGGACTCCCTTAAGTTAATGAGAAGAACAATTGTACAAATACTGTTCAATAGCTAAACAGAGATTGCCAGAATACTAGAACCACAGAAAAATATCAAGTACTAGATCTATCAGGTTAAGCAGAAACAAGGTGTACGTTCCTGTAATCATAAGTTTGCCTTTCTTACTTAGAAATGTAGCTCATCTATTTATTTGCTGGAGTCCTGGCATGGCGCTATGGGTTAATGCACTAGAATGCAAGGTCAATTTGAACCACAAAGTCGTTGGTTCAAACTCATCAGCCACTCCTCAGAAACCCTATACAGGGT